CTATCTTACTTATATCTTAGACACGGACTGTTTCGTCTGAATTCTACCTATGATTTTGTGCCAGGTTGTCTTATGTATCCTAAATATTTATCTTCTTAAATGTTACCTAAAGTTTTCTTAGTTTTATAAGTGAACATAGGTCACTCATGAACAAACTTCTTGTACTGGTCTAAGACTGTAATAAACTGTGAACTGGAACTTGAACTTGAATATAATTTATCTGAATGAACACAAATGCTGAACTGCATACTTAACAAAAAGTGAGATAAAAATACAGGAGTCCAAGGAGGACAAAATCAATTGACAAAATTAGTGTTCTAAATTTACTTTAACTGAAAGATCACCATAATGAGACTTGGGTTTTGTGTTGTTGTTTTACAAACCTTTTGCATGAGGACCAAGAACTTCTGGTTCATGAGGTGAAAAGCCATCAAAAAGTTTGGGTGTAGATGCTTCCTCTTCATGTTCTTCTGGCAGTGGAGAAGATAAATGAATTGCTTGAGTTATGGATGGTAAGACTGTTCCAATCTCTGCCTAGAGAAAGAAAAATATACACAATAAGACCAATGTACCATTCAGTATTCATTTTAATATAAACCCTCCATGTTCCAATCTTTTGTATTAAATACCTCACAAGATTCTGTGATGAGATGGATCAAGTTTGTATCAATAAAGACTTATTTGTTAGACTGGATCTATAATGGAAATGTTTTCTATTAGCTCTGAGGAAATATGAAATGGTCATAGCATACATGAATTTATGCGCTAAGTACCAAGAAATGAATATTTGAATGTCCTATAATAGAATGTATCATTGATCATCTTCTAACCCTAATGATTCCTCATCAAGGTTAGAGACACATGTTTAAATTAATCCATGTTTCCTTGAAACCTAAACTGGGCAAGAATCTGCCTTTTTCATGAAACTTGAATTTGTAAGAACAAGAATGGAATTTTCCCTCATGCAATTTCTGACAAGTATAATGAATGTATTTTTTTAAGTCTTTTTCTAGTGCCAAAGTTTTATGTTATTTTAAAAATATTGCTAGAACCTAACAACTCAGAAAAACTCAGCATTAAAGAACTTCTCAATTAGTTCTACATGCCCAAAAGGGTTTTTAAATTGTGCCTTTTTTAGTCACGTTTTCTTTTTAATAAAGAGGACTTTCAAAAACTTTTTGTAATTGTGTACTGTTTGGTGAATTGCTGCTAAATAAAAGCATGCTATTAATATGCCTAAATTTTAGATCACTAAATAAAATGCAGCATATAGTTTCATAATTTTGTACTTCCACTAGGTGGCATATATGCTTTGAAACAAAGCAGATATTCTGCAACCCTTTTATCACAATATTTTTTTCATTTGATTTTATTTCTCCTTATCAAGAATTCAGTTCTTATCAATAATTTTGCATTCAGTCCATTTCTAATTACTTAACAAGATTTCCGCATTCACTGTACCTTTATTAATAAAGCCTTCCCATATATACCATATTAATTAATCCAGAGTACAGTGACATCTTATAAATATTCTGTATTGTTCATATGCAAGAATAAACTGCGTGAGAAAATTAGTCTGTCATTTTGTTGAAAAAAGGTTTGAATGAATTTTCTCCTATGTTTCTTTTTGTAGGGAAAAAAAAGCATTAATAATAGTACTTCAATAATAATTTAAAATGTTGCAAATTTAGACTCATTAAGAGTTTGCTTTTATAATCACCATAGATCTGAATCTCATCAAGATTGCAAACCTTGGGATCCTCGGATGCTTTGGAGAGGGAAATCTGGCACATGTCTCCTCCTCTCCCAGGCTAGTCAGGAGTGGATATGTGTCCCAGAATTTCCCATGACAGAACTCCCAAAGTGTGTTTGGCAGGGAAGTGTGTCATTCAAGGGAAGATTTGTTTCTTTCACTGTTTGTTTATTACAAGTGTTTTTATGCCACTTCAATCAATTAGCTCTAAATGGCCTACAGCAAAATATACTGTACATCACATTACAATAATTCACAAGTAATCAAAATTATCAAACAGCAACAACCATCAACATAAATTATAATATCATCATTTAGTTGATGATATTATAATCATCATCTGCTGGGCTAATAATATTTCTCATTACTTCCATGATAGTATTTTTAACAGAGGAAAAATAAACATCTCGCTGGTCTATTCCCAGGGGAGTTTGGTTTGTTAATTTACTCTAACAGAACAATCAGGTTGGTGTGTCCTTAATTGCTGGCAACCCACTCCAGTATCCTTGCCAAGAAAACCCCATGAACAGTAGGACAGGAAGGCCTGGCGCAATATGGTTCATGGGGTCACGAAGAGTCGGACACGACTTAACGACTAAACAACAACAACAACAACTTGCTCTTAGAGAAGGAAAAAAGTAAAGTGGCATGGAGGCCATATCTATATTACCCTCTTTTAGGTAACATGCTTAAACATTCTGGTAAAATACAAATAAGGACAGCCATGTAGGGGTCAAAATCTACGTGTGTGGGCATCCTCTCTCAGAAACAACAGAATGACGTTACCCTGGGGGTTCATACTGTATACTATTTGAAGAAACTTTGTTCTGGCATAAGTACTAGAACTGTGCAGATCTTCAAAGTGCTAGGATACTTTGCTTAACTCTCTTCTCAAGCCTTTCTCCCAGCAGTGTAATTGAAACTGAAAGAGGCTTCTGCTACAAGAACTGCCAACTAAGGTTTTGAGGAAATGGATGATGAGAATCATGATGCCTCCCTGATGCAAAATGCCTTATCACAGCAAATCCAAGCTGCTTTGCACTGACTTTATTATTGTAAATGCTACATGACTCTTTTTCACATGGACTAAAGCAGTATTCAGCAAGTGATAAATGAATATTAATTGAAAATATAACATGGCTTATTGAAATATGTATGAAAATATATTCCGAATGTATGTGTAATCATAATTCAGATTTGCAAGAGATTCTGTTAAGTGATATTGATTCAAATATTCTTTTGCAAGTATTTTAATATTAACTCTGGGATGAGGAGGAGGAAGATGAGGAAGAGGTGATGATAATGATGATGATTACAATTTTCAGAGTGACAATTTTCCAAAGCAGATTACAAGGTATATAAGCAATTGTAAATAAAAACACAAATAACTATTACACTATTTAAAACAAGTATACAACAAACTTCTAGGACCCTTTGCATAGAGCAGTTGGTGATAATGGCCGAGTGGAACAAGGAAGACTCCTGATGAGCTGACTTTTCTGATGCTTTTGCCTGCCTTCCTACCACTTTCTTTAGGGTTCCTTCCTGTAAGGGTAGTTCCTCACCCTTACCCATTAATGCCTAAGGATCCAACCCTCTCTCATTTTCTTTCTCTTTTGCATGTGCAGTTCTACACCACAGAAAACGTTGTGGCCAGTTTCCACTCTTTTATAAGCATCCCTCCCATTTCTGAGCTTACATCTGGGTCTTCAGTAATAGGAGAAGGAAAGGATGAAATAGTACAACATATCTTATCATTTGCAAAATGGTTTTCCCCTGAATTTCAAAATAAAGCAAATAGTATATTTCATAAAAACAAGTTAAAATATGCTAACATATACTAAAATAAAAACAGTTTGCCTAATTGCTGCAAAAGTTTTAAAAATTGTTTAAAATACTATAAAGTAATTCATCTTTAATACATTGTGGGTTGTGTTCTACAGGAAGTTCAATGTGATTTAAAAATTATTTCATTTTTTAAAAATACAGTTATTTAATTACCCCAATAATTCTAAATTCAAATCAAATTCCGTGGAGAACTAATTTTATTTATACTTTACACATACATTGCATGTACAGGACTTTGACATGTGTAGAGGAAGCTGTTTTCAACATCTAAGTATGCATTATAAAGTCTAATAAATGCAATTCTTCCAATACTCCAGCACAAATAACACCAAGGGGAATGTGATGTCAGGACATTCAGAGGAGCATAAAAATTAGTTGAGATTCCTAATTTGTATAGCTGCCAACTTCCTCCTACAAATTGTGAAGGAAAGTAAATATGATCATTCATTTAATTAATAGGGAAGTCTCATTTTTCAAAGTGAAGTAGTAGGAATAATATAGCTCGAAGCAGTAATGCAGGAATTATTGATATCAAGGAAAACTAAAACTGAGTATGGATTAAAAAAACCAAATTTAATAAATTAATATCAGTGTTAATTAGAATCCATGACAGAACAAACAAACAGGAAAATGGAGCAGAAAGTTGGTGGGACTTCACTAACTGAAGCACAATTGAAAACAATTCCAACAAGGGGGGAAAAAAACATGGAGAACATCAGAAGAAGCCAATATGGCTGCACAAAAAGCTTACTGAAGTTCTGAAATTAAAAAGGACATATACGGAAGATGAAAAGAAGGTCAAGTCATTCATAGGTGTCAGCTGTCCCAGGTAAACCAGGCAGGAAACAAGACTAGATGAACTAACTCTATTTTATTGTAAGGATACATTAACAGAATCTTGCAAGTCTGAAAGCACAAATCTCCCACACTCCCTATTTACCACCTGAGTAGTTAGGCCAGGTCTTTCCTATGTTTCTTTCTTTGACTGTTACCCTGTTGCTGGATAAGACTCTTTTCTCTTTTATGTGATTGTTCCCTAGGTGATCTCTTTCCCCCATCTTCCAAGGCCACTCTCATGTTCCATCACAATAGGGGAATGTAACATCCAGTGAGAATTTACAATAAAAGGGAAAATAGCACTCACTGGGGAAATGGGAATAGCAATGAACAATCTCTGGGGGGTAGCAGTGGCATAGCATGCATATACTTTTTATAAATCTTTCTTGCCTTGTGGAGTGTTGGTGGAGGGAAGGAGGGTATATGAGAAAGTATATGCATTTTGGAAAAGCAAAAGGAAAGTGGGAAAAAGGAAAGAAGACTGGGAAGCCAGCCTCTATGGAACAGAGAGATGGGGCTGGGGAAGAAAAAGGAGAGAAAAAAGGGACTGAGAAGCTAGCTTGTATGCAATGAAAAATAACTGAAGCAGGGAGAGGGGAGAAAGGAAGACAAGTGTCTTTTTTCATTGCAGTGACTACACAGTCCCAGTTCTTGAGGATTTTTCATAGACAGAGCCTCCAGAATGGAAGGCAAAAAGGGGTCCCTGTCCATAGGGCTTGTCATATTTTTAGGCTTTGTCATTTCAGTTTGGTTTTTGACTTACTCAGGCCTTAGTTCTCTTGGAGCTGAGGACTCAGACCAATTCAGAGGGTGGGCATTGGTGTATCACTGTTGTATGCCTTTGAAGATTAGTATATCCATTTCACTGATTTGATCTAAGGTAGTCAGCACAACCAGCTGGCTCTTTCTAGATATGAAACCCAGTTTAGCAGGGGCTGTTCCATGTACCCATGTAAACCAAGCTATGCTTCTCAGTTTAAGAAGGCAATGTACTGGAGGGGCTATGTTCGACTTCTCAAAGGCCTGCAGTGTCCTTGGGACTGTAACAGCAAGTTAAACTTTGTGAAGGACCCCTACAATCTTCTGCCCATTTCAT